TCCATGTACACAGGTAAGACACAGGTTAGAAGTTCCATGTACACAGGTAAGACACAGGTTAGAAGTTCCATGTACACAGGTAAGACACAGGTTAGAAGTTCCATGTACACAGGTTACATGTAAGACACAGGTTAGAAGTTCCATGTACACAGGTACATGTAAGACACAGGTTAGAAGTTCCATGTACACAGGTAAGACACAGGTTAGAAGTTCCATGTACACAGGTAAGACACAGGTTAGAAGTTCCATGTACACAGGTAAGACACAGGTTAGAAGTTCCATGTACACAGGTAAGACACAAGTTAGAAGTTCCATGTTCACAGGTAAGACACAAGTTAGAAGTGCCCGGAACTGACACAGCTTTTATGAATGGCATAAGCCAACGAACCAAAAACTTATAACTAGTACTAGGTCTACTGTAAAGAACAAATATTCATTATGTACAAATTCAATATGTCAGACAGGCAGGTAAAACACAGTAGTTGCCTCTGGTGACATTGTTGCATCCTTAAGAGGTTTTTCTGTGACTTGAAAAGGGTTCCGAACTTCGTTGAGGCAATATTTGGTATGATTCCATATAGGAATATTATGATATTAAACGTGAAATTGACACCAACGACCTCCAAGTCCAACTCACTAATCAAAGAGCCTTCTACTTTACATAAGGATAGACTACTGTATGATATCATTGATATAAATTTGTGTAATGGCTAATGCTTTTACTTCTGAGTGTGGCAAGTGTCAAGCTATCCAGTTGTAACAAGACGAAAAGGACGCACGTCTGAACTTATTCGTCAATGGCTTTATCTCAACTCATTTATTCAAGTACTAACCGGCCGGTTCTAGAGCCCCTTCTCTCGAACGGTACCGGTATAGATCACCTGTTCGAACACGATGCTGGCACGTGCGCTGGCACGTGTTCGAACAGGTGGCCGCGGCCCTGCCCAAGGGAGGGGATAGAACCGGCGATAATACAATGCTTACTAATACTAACAATACACATTGTTACACAGTTAATTAGATTATACAAATTTCTATGAATAAGAGTTGTTGGCTCATCCCGTCTGTGTGTCTGTCCCCAGGGTGGTCCTGGCCAGCTGCTCTCCGTACTTCAAGGCCATGTTCACGGGGAACCTGTGCGAGCGTGACCAGGACGAGGTGGAGTTCCACTGTATTGACGAGACGGCCATGATGCTGCTGATCGACTTCGCGTACACGGGAACGGTCGCCGTGACCGACGCCAACGTCCAGATGCTGCTGCCAGCCGCAAGTCTGTTCCAGATCGAGCAGGTCACCTCTAGTTCTATATAAGTTCTATATAATACTGGGCAAAGCCCTATCTAGGGCATCCCGTCCAGGGTGCACGGCTATTGCGGCCGGTGGGGTGCGGTGAAGAAAAATGTGCATGAAAACAAAACAAAACCAAACAAAAATTTGTGTATTTTGTGACTGGCCGCAATCAGCAGTACCCGACTTAGGCCAAGGAAAAAAAATGTTGTGTTTCCTGTTTCAGTCCAGAAAAAATTAGGGTCGGTAGGTAGGGATTATCTTATTTTATTTTTATTTTTTATTCTTTTTTTAGACTTTGCTGATTGCTGTGTTGCTGATTGCAGAACATGATGAAAAATCGATTGTGCAATATTATATTTCATCACTCAGGTACTCAGGTGTCAGATCATGGAGCTTTAAACGGTCGATCAGCTCGAAGAACTTAACAGATGTCCCTAGCCCTTGCAGGGCTAAATTCAGATTCAGGTCCTGATTCAAGTCTACAGGTTTTCAGGGTTCTCCCAGGGATTTGGGAGAAAAAAAAGAACAAAAAAGAATTCTAAAGAAAAAAAAATTAATCTGCACAAAATTTTAATTGGTTTCTATCCCTTTGTTTGCCTAAAAATCGATAGTGTGATTGTATCAATTTGAAACCCCAAAAAATTAGCTAAATCGGCGATTTAAGGTTATTGCGCAATGGACGTGCCCTATGACCTTCAACCTTTGGGGGTCATGCAGGCGTCAACACAGCGCCCTCCCCCATGCCTTGCCAGTCCGTTTTCGTGGGCAAATTTCTACTTTTTTAGAGGTTTTGCGACCTAAAAACTCACATCAGAGGAAAAATACACCACAGACGACATTTTCATGGTAAATATCGATAAATGGACCAGGCATTTTTCTGTCCCGTTGCCGATTTTGCTGATTTTCGCCATGTGCTTATAATTTGTTTACGTCGATAGCTACCTTTCCTCGTCCGGTTTTATGGGCAAATTTCCGCTTTTTTAGACGTTTTGGGACTAAAAGACCGACAAAGGGGGAAAAATAAATCAGAGATACATTATTTTTATGAGAAATACTGCTATCATGGACCAGACATTTTTCTTTCGCGTTGCCGAATTTTTGCGGCCGCCGCATGCTGATGGTGCAGTACGGTAGGGAATTTTCTATGATTAGTTCGTAAATGTATCGGCTTTTAAACTTATTTTCGGAGTCGATGGCTTTGTTTTACAAATCAGACAAATTAACAGCGTTGTTTACATGACTTCAAAACGCTAGCGGGGCGCCCGATGTTCCACCAATGACAGCGATTCTCTCGGTAGCGTCGTGCAAAATGTTTTGGTTCAGCAATATGCAGGGGTCCACACAAAAATAAGGCTAGGGTCGGCGTTTTTTTTTAGGGTCGGGAAACAGGAAACACAACATTTATTTTCCTAGGCCTTACATCTGTGAGACGGGGTGGCCCAGGTGCAGGGCCAACCCCGTCTTGAATGTGTCGACAGATAGTTGTGTCCCTAGGTGTTCCGGTAGTGCGTTCCATTCTATGATAGTTCTTGGGAAGTAACTGGATCTGAAAAAGTTCACTTGTCTAACTTTTGTTTCCTTACTAAGTAGACTTAGAAATTCGTCTTCACTTATTTGTATATCAATCAACAGTTCATACTTATAAACTAGACTGACTGAACCTCGCTTTTCGCCAGCTCCCTAGTTGGTGGTCAGCTCTTTGACAAAGAGCTTGGGTTTCACAGGCTACTTAATACCCTGCTTTTCTGACCAGTCTCCAGTGACACTGACAAAGGTAGTGGATGCTACCTGAAACGTCTGACCGTTTCCAAAATCATATCCAGTTGCTTGAGTAACTGTTTATGTTTTTTGCGCAGGTCCTGCGTCAGTGCTGCGATTTCCTGCAGTCAGCGCTGCACCCGCACAACTGTATCGGCGTGGCTCGGTTCGCCCAGCTGCACGCCTGCTACAAGCTGTACACTCAGGCCTACAACTACATCTGCAGACACTTCGAGGACGTCTCCAAGTCAGAGGAGTTCTTCCTGCTGACCGCTTCTGAGATTCTGGACCTGCTGTCCAACGACAGCCTGGCCGTGGTGTCGGAGGAGTCCGTGTTCGAGGCCGTGGAGAGGTGGGTCTACTTCGACTATGCAAACCGCCGGTGCTACCTGTCCAAGCTGCTGCGGTGCGTGCGGCTGCCGCTGCTGCCCGTGAAGTTCCTGACGCGCTGCTACGAGGCGAACCCGCTGGTGCGAGAGGACCTGACCGCACAGCACCTGCTGAACGCAGCGCTCAAGTACCACCTGGTCCCCGAGCTGCGGCTGCGCTCGCTGGGCGCCGAGGACGACACCGAACAGCCCACCACGGCGCGCCCCAGGTGTCCGCCCAAAGTCCTGTGTGCCGTGGGCGGCAAGAACGGGCTCTTTGCCACATTAAACAGGTGTGTGTTAGTGCTAGCATTTAGAACGGACTCTTTGCCACATTAAACAGGTGTGTGTACAGTGTTAGTGCTAGCATTCAAGCCCCAGCATGTCCTCTACCCCTTGATATATTAGGTCTTCAGGTTACACATCTTGCATCACATTTACAGTTCTAACATGGTTCCATTTTGAGAGCCATTTGTGTTTGGTACGAAATAAAAATATCAACCCTTGGTACAGTTGAAATAAAGCCATTTGCATTCCATACTACAGGTACAACCCTTGTTAATGATCTGTAATGTTGCTGCCTGCTGAAGTCCCAGTAGACCTGTGTGATCACACGTCCCTGACATAACCACCTGTTCAAGCTTTCCCCTGCACCATGTACCTACAAACACAGGCTGACTATACAAATTTATGTAGCCACTTTCAACTGTCACTGTTTGGAATAATGGGGATCACAGGACACAACTAATATGTCAAACCGGATACAAGTTTGTTCCTATGGTGCCATCACTGTAATTTTTCTAGTAGTAGAATCTGAATTTCCTTCATGAGTATTGTTTACCTGGATGTCTAACCTTCATCAGCATACTGATGTTTCTTTTGCCAGTGTGGGGGTTATAACTGCAGTGTTGTTTGTTTGTCTGTTTGTTTGTTTCCCCAGTGTGGAGGTTTACTTCCCCGAGAGCAACACGTGGACGGAAGTGTCGCCCCTAAACCACCAGCGGTACAACTGTGCCACGGCGGTCGCCGACAACAGGCTGTTCGTGGTTGGCGGGATCACGTGTGTACCGAGGAACGGGGAGACGCACCACATCCACTCCAACTCTGTCTCCTGCTGGGACCCAACCACCAACAGGCAAGCACCAGCACTCTCCTCTCTCCTATCATGTCATATATTTGTAACTGAATGTTTTTTTTTTAAGTTTTTGATTCTCTGAGAAATTTGATCATCATCAGGTGGGTGATTCCTGGTCCCAGACCCTCTCCCTCCAGTCTGCTTTATCCATCATGGCGCTGCCAGGTACTGATGTTGCATTGTAAGGCGACACCAGTTCTCGGATTGTTTCAGAAAAAATATAAAGCAACAGGGTGAAAAAAAAAATAAAATCAGGTCTGGGCATCCTATTATAGCCCAAAATAGCTACGATAGCAGTCATGAAGTCAACATAAAAGGCTGGGTTAATATTTAAACAATGAATTTTTAACTTTTAATCAAACCACTGCATTGATAGATGGAAAAACTGTAACAACTAGGAAGAAAAGGACTTTCCTCAACTGTTGGGGGCAAAGTATGAGCATATTTGACTTGATTGAGAACCAGAATTTTTTTTT